ACGGCCTTTTTTTAAGCTCAAAACAGCTGCTGCCAAAACAAAGTTACATAACATTACATTTATTTAGTCGACACTTTAATCCAAAGTGACTTATAATAAGAGCATTCAACCATACAACCCACATTTAAATACAAGAATAATGCAAGTATATCAACAAAGACTGTGATGATGTTTAAGAAAGGGAATTAGATTTTAAGAAGGATAAGAAATAAGTATTTTCTGATTATTTGTACATGTTTGTCAGCTTTGCTCTGGCAGTTGTAGAAATAAAAACCAAAGATTGAACGTGTTGAATCACGTTAGATTGAATGTTAACGCAGGACTCTGCTGTCTGCGTTGGTAGCTAACATGTGGCGGTGCTCAAACTAAGAATAGCATCCTTGTCGGTCCTTCAGCCTGCAGTCACTGTCTGAATACCAAGTCAACACAACCGCACACAGACTCCATTACACACCGCTGGTACCTGAGCTATTTGCAGCCCACCTCTTAACCGCAGAGTGGATCTCTGGGTGTACTACGACATGTAAAACCTTCCAAACAACGAGCCACTTTGACTCCTGGGAGAGAAGGTCCAGGTGTGGGAATGTCCCGAAGCCTGGAGGACGTTTAAAATCCTGTGTTTGTTTATGCATCAGTGACTTTGTTAACATTGTCTTAAGAATAGCCCCGTTCCTTTCTGAACGATCTGAACCTCAATGGAAACATAGATGGTTTCCTCATGTACAGAACAGGAGAAGATCGTAAACTAGACATTGACAGAAGGAAGGAAAAGTCCTAAACCAACGATGTGTCCGTCTGCCTCCTCAGCACCAAGTCTACTGGTTTCTACTAATGACGTGAAACTCTAAAAACTGGTCACAATTTAATCATTTATTTTATAATACACAATTCAAAACAGCTGTTCACTGTAGCTTATATCAAACACTTTTTTTCACACATTTTTGGGAGATTTTGAAACCTTTTTCACGCAATTTAGGCACATTTTTTCAATTTTTTTTCCAAACATTTTTCACGCAGTTTTGGGAGATTTTCAATGAAATTTTCGAACTTTTCTCAAATATTTTTTGAAAATTTTACACATTTTTCAGAAATTTTGCACGTATTTGTTGGACATAATTCTTGCATTTTTTGTACATTGGAGGAACATATCACATGTGATGGAGCTCTATGACACAGAGGAAGAAGAGGTATCTGGCTTCGATACACACGACACAATACTTCAGTGCTACATCAGTGCGAGTGATTCAAACAGAACCTGCAGGTCTCGTCGTGTTGTGAGTGATGCTGAGTCTGAAACACTGAGAGCTGAGACGTTTGTGTCTGTGCACGGCAGACAGATGAGCTGATGATGTTTGTGACTGGACGGAGTGATGCTGAGTGCAGGGCTTAAAGCGCCCTCTGTCTCTCTGTCTGTCTCTCTCATTGTTATCCTGCAGCTTAAAGCAGGCTTGTGGCCGTGGAAGCTGCATTAGCAATGCGAGGAGCAGAACGAGCCCTGATGGTTATGTAAACCCCCCCCCACACACACACACACACACACACACACACACACACACACACAAACAAGCCCTTAAGCCTCTCTCTGGTCCGGCACACGCTAGCAAGTGTCTCTCAGCGCTTATCGTTGCGTCATTACTATACAGGCCTACTTTCTGCCTCAGAGTCTAATATACGGTCAGATGTTATAATGGAGTGTAAGAGATGCAGCTGCCTTGTTTCAAGAAACACAAACACAGAAAAAAGCTCTTTATCAGCAGAAAAGAAAAATGTTTGAAGATTTGTTTTGCTAACTTTATATCAACATTTAAAATGAGGTGTATTTATACTCCATATATCCTCCATATAACTTTAAAGAAACCTCATATATGCCGTCAATTTTGGACCAAATCTTTTAAAGACTTTCATTCTTTTCATGCTCATAAATCTGCAGTTTATCAGGAATAAATATGATATAATATGTTTGTGGTGCAGTTTACTGTCTCTTTAGATTGTGGTGATAAGATAATTATATTATGAAGTCTGTGCTTATTTTATTTAGTATCAGATGTGTTCAAACATGGTGTGAGATGCAGCAGAGAAGAAAACGTGAGACCGGACGGATTCTGGTGAATTAAAGTTGTTGCTGCTAAATTAATAACCGTTATTACAAAGTGTTACCTTCATTTCTAATCAAAGGAAAAACACAACCTCAGCTAACTCAGCTTCCTTCTTATCTTACTCGTATGAAACAGCTCCTGCTCCTAATGACTCTGTACAGTGTGAGTCAGTGTGCATGAACTGAACCCGGATCAGTGACCAGTTTGTTAAAGTCGGTTGAAAACATCGGTTTGCATCAGAGAAATGTGTCGTCGTGTTTCCTCTGCAGAGTTCCGGCCTGAGGAACGGACTCGTGCATGAACACGTTCACATTCACACACATGTAGATTCTGAATATTGTATAACCTGATTAAAAACGCTGGAGTATCGTTGGGTTAGCAGGGTGAAAACAAACTGGAAGGATGGTTTTAAAATGACTGAATGAGCCGAAATATCGTCACAGCTGACAAATGTATGAACACATGATCGTAGTTCTGCATCATATACAAACTATAATTCTGTTTCATTGAACACTGTGTGAGGTTTGTGATGCAGATATCCTCATCGGTGCTGATGTCAAATATAAAACACGTGTCTTCTGTCTCGCAGACATTTAGAAATCTTACTTCTACTTTTAGTTTTCTTTACGATTCCACCAGACAAGAAGATTTTTGTCATTTCTGACCCTAAACTGATTTTTTGTGCCTTTTTAAAATTGACAAAATGTTGATATTTTTGTGTGAGCTTGTGTTCCTGTGATTACTTCACATTGTTAGGAAGGTTGTGGCGTTTCTCAACGTTCTCTTTATCTGTTTTACTGAGCAGAGACTCGTCACTGTAAGTCTCTTAATGAGATCGTTGATCGGCTGGAGAAGATACGTTGATGTGTAGACGGAGCGTCTGGACGCAGGGAGATCTGTGGTTATCCTCTAGGTCATAACTCATCATCATCATTTCATAGAGCTGCAGCACCTCCTGATCAGTTGGAGTTTTCCTGAATCAAATCTCATATTTGTTATAATTCCAGCCAAAGCTTTGATTTTCAGTTCCGTATAAAAACCTTTCTGGTTGGCCTCTAAGTCTCCTGAGCAGCGTAATCCTCTGCAGTTAACAATAAAGTAGCCTGATAATCAGACTAAAGCTCCATTCAGTCCGTATTAACATCACAAGGGGGAGGTGAGGAATGAATAATTCGCTGTGCTCGGCGGTAATTTAACAGACCAAGCGGATGATGGAGAGTTGAACGGGACGCAAAGATACTGCGTGAAGTGAGTTTGAGTTTAACATCACACTCCCTCTAGAGTCATAACCCCGTCACACTGTTAACATTCATACATCAGACATTCTGACATAGTTCAGTGTGACAAACACTTCCCCAGGATGTCTTTATAAACATAAATCTGCTTATACATCATAGAAACAGAGACAATATTCAAATTCTGAATATTGTCATGTATAGTACGAGTGTGCATGCATATGTAGGTCTGGAAACGTCTTCTTTAACGTTTGGACTTAACTTGAACATTGCATCTGTGTTGCTTGTTGTCACTGAGCAACTTGAACAACAATAGTTATGCGTGTCTTCATCTGTGCACGGGCAAAACCTGCAAGGATCGAGTTACTGCAACGTTTTAATGCATTGCTGTTGAAACAGGAAGCTGCGATCCTCACAGTCCTCATAAGAACGCCTGATTGAAATGTTTAAATTGCACTTAGCGTTGGAATAGGTATCAGTTCTGACTACTAGAGTGCTGCGGCTCCTCACTTTGTATTATGAGCACTATTTAAGTTAATATTCATGTGTACTGATGAACCTGTGAGTCACTGCTTGTGGTTTTGTTGAATGACTTCTGAATACTGGAAGTGTCATTACTCATTACTGGAAGCTAAAGAGATGATGGATAAAAGTCCAATAACTCTAAAACTCTGCTGCTAAGTTTGTCCTCGTCTCTTTATTTACATCAGATGTGATGGTGTTTATTATGAAATGTATGACTATTAAATAAAACATTGTGTGTAAAGAGGTGAAATCCCACTGATTTATGGTTTTATTAATACTTGAATAGTTGATCACAATTACTTCCCTGGTTTCCAAAAATAGTCCTTTAAGTTTGACTTGATGATCAAAATATCACAAATATAGGGAAATTAAAAACCTACAGTATATTGTAGTCAGGCGGCAAACCTCCGGTTCTGACGAGTGAAGTCAAAGCTTCATGTGTTAAA